CGCGGGAGGGGGGCGCTGAGCACCCCCGTTCCCGGCAGAGATGGGGGTGAGGAAGACTCCGGCACGCAGCCCGCCCTGCCCTTCCTCCGTCCCCTCGCACCGGGGCTGGCGGAGCCGCAGGGACAGCGGAGCCGCCGCTCCGGCTGCTGCAGGGCTGGGGCGGCCCCTCCCCGAAAAGCCACCCCCGACACGGCGGGCAGCGGCCCCGGGGTCACGGGGAAAAGGAGAGAAATTCGGGCTGGGAACGGCGGGAAACTTGAGGGGAGGGAGGGAGGGAAAGATGGATGGATGGTGGATGGATGGTGGATGGATGGACAGATGGACGGACAGACGGATGGAGGGACGGATGGACACATTCACCCTGCCCGTGTGTGCCAGGGAGAGCGGGGACGCTCGCAGCCCTGCCGGGGGAGCGCTGGTAGCCCAGCTGTGCCAAGGGGAGCGTCCCCCTCCAGGTCCTGCTGGGCACCTCCTGGGCACCTCCCTGCCCCACTCCCCCGAACCCATTCTGCCCCCCGGGGCTGTCATCGCTGTCCCCAGCCGGGTTTTTACCCACTTCCCGCGTAAAAAGACCCCTTCCAAAAAACCCCCAAACAAGGGGAAGCGGGGTGCCCCGCGGAGTTCCGCCTGACTCCAGAGCCCCCGTTCCCAGCCAGCCCTGCTGGAACGAGCCGGGAATGGCTGGCGGGGGGGGGAATGAGGGAATCGATAGGGCCGGCTCCGGCTGCAGTCCCAGGGACACGCACACAGCGCTCGTGTTACTCCCGGCAGCCGCGCTCCTCCATTTCAGCGCTTCCCAGCGCCTCCCGTCACTCTCCACCTCTGGAGACCAAGATGACACCGCGGGGAGAGCCCCGAGGGACCCCGCGTCCCCTCTGCCACCGCGCTGCCGCCTCCCGCGCCGCCTCAGCCGGCGCTCCCCGTCCCCACCGAGCGCCCCGGTGCCCCCAAACCTGCCCGTGCCCAAACCCAGCCCAGCGGGCACCCCGAGGTGCCAGGGCCGTGTGCCGCCCCTCGGAGGGGTTTGGAGGTGAGGGCAAACCTTTCCTGGCACCGCAGGGCTCAGCTGTGGGCGCAGCCCGCGGGAAGGACGCTGGGCTAGGTGAGCTGCGGGCGACAGGAGCGCCCGCAGGGCGCGGGGACGGTGCCCGCCCTGGCCGCCATCGGCCCGAGGGGGGCACAGGGAAGCGGTGTCCCCTCCCGGGGCTCGGGTGACAACGCGGAGCGGCCCTGGGACAGCGGGGGGTGCGCAGGGGGGTGGCACGGGCACCGCCAGGGCTTTGCAGGAACCCCCCGTGCACCCCCGAGGGGACAAGGGGAGCCCCCCCGGCTGCGGCACCGAAGGGCAGCGAACAAAGTGCCACCCCCTCCCCGCCGCGACACCGGGAACGGGGGGGACCCCCGGCAATGGGGGAGAGGGGGAGGCTGAAGGAAAGGGGACGGTGGAGGGGCTGCCCCCGGTCTGGGGCCGGGGTACGGACGCCCCCGGCTGCTGCCGGGAACCGGGAGCTCGGGGTGGGGATTTTGGGGAGGGGGACACTGCGGTGGGCAGGAGCGACAGCAGGACAGCTGGGGCAAGGGAGATCGGCGGGGGAGCCGCAGCAGCGGGTGGCGGACACCGGCTCCGTCACCGCCCGGAGGGATGCGCCCCGCTCCATCCCGCGCCATCCCGCGCCATCCCGCGCGTTCCCGCCCGGTACCTGCGGCAGGTGAGGGCTGCGGGCCGGGATCCGCAGCGCCGCTCGGCCCCGCTCGGCCCCGCTCGGCCCCGCTCGGCTCGGCTCGGCCCCGCTCGGCTCCCGCCGCCCCTCCCGCCGCCGGGCCCGCCCCGCCCCGCCCGCGGCGCCGTCACCATGGCAACCGCGGCTGCACCCCGCCCCCCCGCGCCGCCGGCAGGGGGCGCTGAGAGCGCGGAGGGGCGGGGCCTGCGGGGGGGGGCACGTGAGGGAATAACGGGAAAATAATGAATAACGGGGGAATAACAGGGGAATAACGGGGGAATAACGGGAAAATAACGGGGAATAACGGGGGAATATCGGGGGAATGTCGGGGGAATAACGGGGGAATAACGGGGGAATAACGGGGAATAACGGGGGAATATCGGGGGAATATCGGGGGAATATCGGGGGAATATCGGGGGAATAACGGAGATGGGGACGGGGACAGGGACAGGGACGGGGACAACGCAGGGATGGGGACAGGGACCGGGATAACACAGGGATGGGGAAAGGGAAATACAGGAACGGGGAAAGGGATAGGGACCGGGATAACGCAGGGATGGGGACAGGGAAATACAGGGACAGGGAAAGGGATAGGGACCAGGATAACACAGGGGAATAGAGGGCTAGGGGCAGGAATGGGGACAGGGATATGGGCATGGATATGGGTATGGAAATACAGGGATGTGGATATGGATAGGGAAATACTGGGATGTCGATATGGATGTGGACATGGAAATACAGGGATATGGGCAGGGATAACACAGGGACACACTCCTGGAAACACACGCAGGCACACGCAGGGATGTGCACACCTGGATGTGCACATGGCTGTACACGGGGACTCGTGCACAGCTGGATTCACAGCTGCATTCACACCTGGGTTCCCACACTCCATCACCCCCAGCACAGACCCAGACCTGTGCCCGGGCTCTGCAGGAGCCCCCTGCGGGACCCGGTGCCACCTGTGCCCGCTGCCACCTGTGCCCAGCGCCCCCCGTGTCCCCTGCATGGCCCTCACAGCCCAGAGCCAACGGCGCCATCAGGAAAGGGAGAGGATTCCCGGGAGCAACGGATTTCTGCCAGGCTGGAGGGAATGTTGACATTTATGGAACGTCCCTTTTCACCTCTGGTGTTCCAAACTCCCTCAAATGTATTTTTTTTTTCCTTTTCTTCCTTTAAATTTTTTTTTTCTTTTTCTCTCTCTCTCTCTCTCTTTTTTTTTTTTTTAAATCCAAATAAAACAGCAAAGCCTGGGATTCTGAAATCCCTTCCAGGCTCCTCTGGAATATCAAAGTGATTTTCAAACGTTCCAGGCAGGCCTGGATCCCAATGTCATTTAAAGGTTGGCACCTGAGCTTCCCAGGATTTCTGGATTCCTGTTATTATTTATTGCCTGCCAGGGAAATGAAGGAAAAGAAGGGAGGAAAAGGAAAAAAAGAATAGATTTTGGTAGGCTTTTAGGGTGTTTGGGTGGGGAATGAGCTGCAGCCAAGCCCAAAAATCCAGGTTGGGTTTGGGAATAAAGGAGATAATTCCCAAATCCAGATAATTCCTTCACCTATAAAAATCCTTAGCAGTTTATCAGACCTGAGCCAACCCCAGCTGGATTTTTCCCTTTTTTTTTTTTTTTTTTCTTTTTAGAGCTGCTGCTTACTTAAAAAGAGGAAAGTCTTTAAATCCCTGTAATAATAGGGGGAAAAAAATCCCATTTATTTACCAGGAAGCAGCGCTCTGTGCCTGGACATGCCCCAAATATGGATTGTGACAGCAAAGCCACCATCAATTATTGTCCCCTCCCCAAAATTGGGGTGTTTGGAGTCATTTGGGGGGGCAGCAGCTCCGATGGCCCCGGTTTTCCTGGCAAAGCTGGACTCCCTTCCAGCAGGCCAGTTCTGGGAGTTTGGGGAATTTCTGAATTTGGGGAATTTTGGGACCTTTGTCCCCTGGGGATTTTTGGGATGATTCGAGGTTTCCTGTCAAGGGTGCTCCAGGTTCTGCTGCCCAGGGGGAGGTGGGCATTTATTCCTGCCAAACTGGTGTCACCAGAGCCAAATCAGGGGGTTTGGAGTCCCCAGTGCACCCCAAAACAGGATAGGAACAAGGGGACACAGCCAAAGGACAGCATGGTGGACAAGGCACCAACCCCAAGGCATTTGGGGTCCCCAGAACACCCAAAACAGGGTCAGGACCCCCTCCCGAACAGTCCCTCCCCAGGGCCCTGCTGCACTCAGCAAAGGCCACCAGATGCTGGGGGGCCCCGCTCCCCACACCTGGGGGTTCTGCTCCCCACACCTGGGGGGTTCTGCTCCCCACACCTGGGGGTTCTGCTCCCCACACCTGGGGGTTCTGCTCCCCACACCTGGGGGTTCTGCTCCCCACACCTGGGGGGTTCTGCTCCCCACACCTGGGGGTTCTGCTCCCCACACCTGGGGGATTCTGCTCCCCACACCTGGGGGATCCTGCTCCCCACACCTGGGGGTTCTGCTCCCCACACCTGGGGGTTCTGCTCCCCACACCTGGGGGATTCTGCTCCCCACACCTGGGGGGTTCTGCTCCCCACACCTGGGGGCCCCGCTCCCCACACCTGGGGGGTTCTGCTCCCCACACCTGGGGGTTCTGCTCCCCACACCTGGGGGATTCTGCTCCCCACACCTGGGGGTTCTGCTCCCCACACCTGGGGGATTCTGCTCCCCACACCTGGGGGGTTCTGCTCCCCACACCTGGGGGGTTCTGCTCCCCACACCTGGGGGTTCTCCCCATACCTGGGGGTTCTGCTCCCCACACCTGGGGGGTTCTGCTCCCCACACCTGGGGGATTCTGCTCCCCACACCTGGGGGGCCCTGCTCCCCACACCTGGGGGATTCTGCTCCCCACACCTGGGGGTTCTGCTCCCCACACACAGTGCTCTCTGTCACACCTGGGGGATTCTTCCCTCAGGGCTGGGGAATTCTCTCCCTCACCCCTGTAAGATTCCCTTCCTCACCCCTGGAATATTCTCTTCCTCACCCCTGCAATATTCGCCTTCTTACACCTGGAATATTCTCTCCCTCACGCCTGGAGAATCCTCTCCCGCACGCCTGTAGGATTCCCCTCCTCACCCCTGCAATATTCCCTCTCTCACCGCAGGACCATTCCCTTCCTCACCCCCGGAGGACGCTCCCCCATCACTGCCGCGCCCACCCCCCTTTTCACACACACCCACCGCCCCCTCGCTCCCCTTCCCCTCCATCCCGCCCCTCCCAGCGCTCCCAGCCCCCAGTTCTGGGCCATCGCCCTCACCTGGTCCCGCAGGCGCTCCTGCTGCCCGCGCAGCGCCAGGGCGTGCTGCGGGTATTTGCTCTTCAGGTGGTCCATGAAGGCATCCCGCTTGCGCTCCATCTCCGTCTTCTGGAGGCCGGTGAGCGCCTCCAGGCTCTGGGCGGCGATCACCGTGTGCCGGCGCTCCGAGGTGTGCACCAGCCCCACGTTGGAGAAGCGCCGGGTGCCGTTGCCCAGGGTGCGGTACTCGCGCGGGTACTCGGCATCGTCCGCGGAGATCATGTGCGAGCTCGTCCTGTCGGGATCTGTGCGGGTCCGGGAGAGCACAGCGGGGTCAGGGCACAGTCCCTGGCCATGGGGCAGGAGGGGGGGACGGTCCCAGCCGTGGGGCGGGGGGGGATTTGTCCCTTCGGGATCTGCGTGGGCACCAGGAGAGCACAGAGGGGTCAGGAGAGGGCCCCTGGTCATGGGGAAAGGGGGGGATGATCCCTGGCCATGGGGCAGAGGGAGGGGGACGGTCCCCAGCCATGGGGCAGGGATAGGGGCAGTCCCAGCCATGGGGCAGAGGTTGAAGGTTGGGATTTGGGGTTGGGGAGGGGGATTTCAGCAAGGAAAGATGGCAGAGCCTTGCTGGGAACGGGATCACCCCTCAGTGGGGTGCACACAGTGGGATCATCCCTCAGTGGGGTGGGGACAACGGGATCGGCCCTCAGAGGGGTGCACACAGTGGGATCGGCCCTCAGTGGGGTGCAGACAGTGGGATCATCCCTCAGTGGGGTGCACACAGTGGGATCGGCCCTCAGTGGGGTGCACACAGTGGGATCGCCCCTCAGAGGGGTGCACACAGTGGGATCGGCCCTCAGTGGGGTGCACAGAGTGGGATCACCCCTCAGTGGGGTGCACACAGTGGGATCGGCCCTCAGAGGGGTGCACACAGTGGGATCGGCCCTCAGTGGGGTGCACACAGTGGGATCGCCCCTCAGTGGGGTGCACACAGTGGGATCACCCCTCGGAGGGGTGCCCGGGGAAGGAGGTGGGTGCCGGGCTCGTCCCCCTGCGGTGGCAGCGCTGTCCCCGCTCCCGGACACGCGGCAGGAGATGAGGGGACAGCGGGGATGGAGGGGCCGGGGGGTGCAGGGGCTGGGATTCCACCAAAGCCGCGATGATCGGAGCGAAACGGGAATGAAACAGCGCTGGGCGACTGAAAACAGCACAGACGGGACACGGGACAGGGACACGGGGAAACACGGGGGACACGGACACGGCTCCGGAGCACGGACACACGGGGGCACACGGACACAGGACAGAGCGAAAAGAAAATGAAACCAGGCGGGGGGGGGGGAAGGTGGTGTGTGCAGGCACCGGGGAGGGGGGACAGGACCCCCATGGCCCCCCAGAGACCCCGGCGGGGGCTCAGTGCCCATCCCGCAGCCATCGCTCACAGCGGCCCGCGGGCACCAAGCTCGGGATTGTTGGGATGCTCTGCCCCATCCCAAACCCTTCCCGGGGCTCAGCCCAAACCCTGTGCTCCAAACCCGGGATCTCCGGGATGCTCTGCCCCATCCCAAACCCTTCCCGGGGCTCAGCCCAGCCCTGTGCACCAAACCCGGGATCTCCGGGATGCTCTGCCCCATCCCAGCCCTTCCCGGGGCTCAGCGCAGCCCTGTGCACCAAACCCGGGATCTCCGGGATGCTCTGCCCCATCCCAGCCCTTCCCGGGGCTCAGCCCAGCCGCGGGCACCAAACCCAGCATCTCCGGGACGTTCTGCTCCATCCCAGCCCTTCCCGGGGCTCAGCCCAACCCTGTGCACCAACCCCGGCATCCCTGGGATGCTCTGCCCCATCCCAAACCCTTCCCGGGGCTCAGCCCGGCCCAGGCAGGCAGGAGAGGGCACAGACAGAGGGTCCCAGGCGCAGAGAGGTGACAGGGACTCGTCCTTTCGCTAATAACTCATTCCGAGCACGCTGGGATCTGACTTCCAGGGAAGCTGCAGAGCCGATGGATGCCTGGAAGTCCCCGCACGCTGCCAGCGCCTGGCACCGCCTCGGTGCCCGCAGCTCGAGGCCACCGCGCAGCCCCCGGCCCCTGCCCAGCCCCGTGCCCGCTGCGGGGCGGCTCCAGGACCCCAAAAAGCCACTTTGGGGGTCTCACACCATCCGGGAGCCGCTGTCCCCAGTCCTTGGAGCGGTGCCAGCCTGGCCCGGGGCCAGGGCCTGGCTTTGCCACCACTGGCGAATCTCGCAGCTCGTTCTGCGGGGCTCAGCCTCCTCCTCCTGCTCCCCTTTTAACCTTGATCCATAATTCATCCAATTCTTCTCCCGCTTTTGCCTGTGCCTTCCCTCCTCGGCTCCCGGCAAACAAATCACAGCGAGGTTTTTTCCCCTTTTCCCTTAATTTTTTTTCCCCCCTCCATTATTCATGAGCCCGGCAGATCAGTTTGATATCAAACTGATAAGAAAGCGTTATCAGCGGGGTCATGGCCGCGATTCCTCCACTCAAGGTCGCACGAGCGGCTTTGTCACCAGCCCAGCGGGGACATCACGTGCTCACAAACGCCACGGGGACATCCCAAAGCCTTCCCTCCTCCGAAATCCACCGGTGCAGCTCCGTCCCTCCCAGCTCTGCCACCAAATGTCACCTTGGCCGGGTTGTCCCCCCCTTTTCCCAGAAAACGGAGCTGGAATGTGGCAAGAGCTGAAGATCCCGTCCCTCCCTCGCTCTGCCGGGTCCCCGTGGCACCGGGGAGGTCACAGTGGCACCAGGGAGGTCAAGGTGGCACCAGGGAGGTCACGGTGGCACCGGGGAGGTTACAGTGGCACTGGGGAGGTCACGGTGGCACCGGGGAGGTTACAGTGGCACCGGGGAGGTCACGGTGGCACCGGGGAGGTCATGGTGGCACCGGGGAGGTCACAGTGGCACCAGGGAGGTCATGGTGGCACCGGGGAGGACAAGGTGGCACCGGGGAGGTCACAGTGGCACCGGGGAGGTTACAGTGGCACCGGGGAGGTCACGGTGGCACCGGGGAGGTCAAGGTGGCACCGGGGAGGTCACGGTGGCACCGGGGAGGTTACAGTGGCACCTCCACCATGCCAAACAGCCCCGGGTCCCCTCTGCCATCAGGGGACGCTGCTGGCCGAGGGGACACGGGCAGGGCATCGCCCCGGGCTCCCAGCGGCTGCCGAATTCCAGCCCTGCTGGGCAATCCCGCTGGAGCTGCTCGTTCTGAACCCCCGGGACCCCCAGGAACCGCCTGCCCCTCTCCCCGCTCCCGTCACAGCCCCACAACGTGCGGTCCTCACTGGGAAATGCAAATCCAGACTGGGAAACTCCTCCCCCGCCTCGGCCGCTCTCCCCAGCACAGGCTCCGCGACCCCAGAACAGAAATTTGGGCAGGAGCTGCACCCAGCACCCGACACCCCGCACAGCCACAGCCTCGGAGCCCTTGGAAAGGTCCGGAGCACCCTCGGGAGCAGCCAGGAGCCTGCTCGGGGTGGGGGATCGGAGCCGGGGCCAGCCCCGCTGTGCTCCGAGGCCACCAAAACCATCCCTGGGGCGCCGCAGAACTCGCGGATTCCTCCCGTCCCACGGGAATTCTGCGGCCGGGGATGGGGATGAAGGCGAGCCCCGCCAGCCGCAGCCGCAGCCGAAGGAGCTGCAGCGCGTCTCCCTCCCGGAGCCGGGACGGGGATTTTTGGGGGGACAGAGGGGGTTTGCTCCCCGCCACCACCTCCCGGTGCCCGCCCCAGCCCCGCCGCAGCAGCGCCGGGCTGAGGCCGCGTCCGCAGCTCCTTCCCGGCCCCTCCCGCTCCGCCATCAGCATGCAGCTCCCCGCTCCCTAATCACACGCTCCGCGAGCGGAACGCGCCAGCTCCGCTCGCCCGCTCCCAGGGATGATCTGAACAGGGGCACGGAGGAGCTGGACCCCCTCAGGGGCGCTTCCAGCCCGCGCTGCGCCGCATCCGCTGCGCGATCCATCCCCGGGACACGGGGCCAGCCAGGACGGGGCGGCCCCGACCCCGCAGCATCGCAAAGGTTCTGATCCAGGGGAGGAAAAGTCGCCACAGCCACGCGCGCTGGCCTCGTGTCAGCGCTCCGGAGATGCCACCAGAGATCCCATGCAGAGGGGGTCCCGCCCGCAGCGGGCAGGGATGGTCCCGCAAGGAAACAGCCTGGGGGGCTCGTTTGGGGAAATGAACCTGAAAACCCTCAGGGCCAGGCTGAAGGAAAGGCTGTTAACCCTTCCCTCCTGGCGATAATTCCACCTCAAATCCCCCACAAAGTTTTTTTCTCCTCCTCCTGCAGCAGTTCAGGAATGCAGCGGTTCCCGCACGGCCGCAGCAGATCCCTGGAAAGTGCTTCCCGAGGCTGCTTCCAAGTAGGTCACTGGGGTGGCAGAGCCTGCCCGGAGCCTGCCCGCGCTGCCCAGCCCGGCCCAGCCCACGGGGACACCCTGCGGGCCGCGTCCCCCGCCCCGGGACCGTCCCCTCGCTTACCCGCGGGCGCAGCGCGGCTCCCACGGCGGCCGGGCAGCGGCTCCGGGGGCACGGAGGGGGCAGCGCTCCGCTCGGCGGGGGCTGCGGGCGGCTCCTTGGCCGGGCGCAGGGCTCCCACCACGGCCAGGATGCCGCGGTAGATCCGGGCCAGCCCCTCTCCGAGCAGAGGGAGGTTGAGGGAACGCGGTTCTCTTTGCCGATTCATCCACCCATCGTCCCCACCTGCCAGCAGAGGTGTCACCCGTGCCGGGGCCGGAGCCCCGGGCTGCTAGCAGGGCACGGCCATCGCGTCCTTCCCGGGAAAACAGCGAGACCGGAGAGACCGCTTTGGGTGGAAATCTTCAGGAACGGCGCTGGCAGGAGCTCCTGAGAGACAGGGCAGGGAAAGGCCCCAAAAACCGGAGCGGCTGCGGGATCCGGCTGGGATCCCCCCGTTAGCAGCGGCTCGGCGGGGTTTTATCATCCGGAGGAACGTCTCAAACCCAGTTTATTACTGCAGTCCCATAAATCTTCATGAGGCAGCGAAACCTCGCGCGGGTCGCGGCGAGCGATCAGCGGAGCGTGCAAAATCGCCCGAGAAAGCGCTCGCACAAAAAGGGGCGAGGGGAGGGGAGGCGGGGAGTGCATTTGGGGAGAGAGGCAGCCGGGAGGGCGGCAGCCCCTCGGAGCGCTGCGGCTCCCCCGCGCCCGGCCATTAGCGCGGCCGGAAGAGCGGGATGCTCCCGCTTCCTCCCGGAGGCTGCACTGCCGCACTGCCCGGCGCCCAGCGAGCCCGCCCGGCTCCCGGAGCCCTGCCCGGTGCTAACCCCTTCCGTGCCGCGCCGCCGGGGGCGGGAGGAGGCGTGGGGAGAGCGGGGGGAGCTCCTGCGCCGCGCGGTTTAACTCGTGTGCTGCTGCAGAGACGGCCCTGGGAATGCGCGCACTGCCAGAGCCGGGCCTGTGGGAAATCAGGGAATGATGGAGTGGTTTGAGGTGGGAAAATCAGCCAGATCCCAGCCCTGCCATGGGCAGGGAGATCCCACCACGCCAGGTGGCTCAGAGTCACCGGCAGAGCCATTGCTGTCCCTGTCCCTGGCTCGGCCACCGTGGTGTCCACTCATTTTGGGATGGTCAAGCGCCTTACAGGACCTGCCCTCACACCCAAAAAGTGCTGGGAGCTGCCCAGATGCTCAAGTTATCCGAGCAAACGCAAGCCCAGGAGCGTGGACACGGCAGGTGACACCGGGGAGACACCGGTGTCCCCTCTCCTGCCACCGCCACGTCCCCGACAGGGCCAACCCTGGCCGGATCTGGCCACTTAAAGCGAATTCCCAGGGAATTCCAGCCTTGGGGCTGCGGGATTGCCGGGAGCTGGGCGGACCCAGGGTCCGTCCCAGGGCATGTGAAAGTGAGGGCACTTCAGGGTGTCCTTGTCCCTCTCACAGCGACGCAGGAGCGAAAGCTGCCGGCGACCGGGGTGAGAATCCCCCACCCTCCCCTCGCTGCCGGGCTCATGGAGCGGCCGCCAAATCCCCTGGGAAGAGCCAAGGCCACTCGCAGGGGACCGTGAGCACCCAGCAGGGGACAAACCTCTCCGGGATGTCCCCCGGGATGCGGGAATTGTTCTCCCGCCTCATCCCCCCCTTCCCAAGGATCCCTGCCGGTGCTCAGCGGGCTCCCCGCCGCGCCTTTCACTCCCAAATTCCAGCGGAACAGCGGAAAATTAAACATCCCCCTGCTCCACAAACACACAGCTCCATTGGAACTTCCCAGACGGGACCCCACAGATCCCGCTTGGCTTTGGGCAGGGGCACCGTGCCCGCTCACGGTGCCAGTCCGGATTCTCCGCGTGAAATCCTGGGATCCTGCCCGTTCCCAGCCCCGGGCGCCGCCTTCTCCCGCCCGCACCCCGCAAATTCCCGCCCCGGAGCTGCTCCGGGACGCGGAGCTCGGCCCGAGGCTGCAGCTTGGAGGAGCTCAGCTGGCATCGCCCCGTGGCACTGCCCTGCCAGGCGGCTCCTTCCCGCGGATAAATCCTGCATGTCACTTGTCAGAACCGGAGCGAGGGGAGGAATCCCATCTGGCCGACCCTGGAAAAAGCAGCCGCCACTTTTCCCACCTCGCCGGGTGTGATCGCGCCCACGCGCCCACATGGAGACGGGAGACGAGTTCACCTCCCAAAATCCCGGGGATCCAGTGCCAAGGGAAGGGCCGGCACACCTGGATGCTCGCCTGGGGCCGTGCAGCCAGGAGCAAGCCAAGGGAAAATGAGGGGCAGAGGGTGGGAAGGGCAAATTCCAGCTGGGAGAGCTGGGAGAATCTTCCCAGTGCCCTCGGAAAGCCAAGGAAAGATGAGGGGCAGAGGGAAGGGCAAATTCCAGCTGGGAAAGCCGGGAAAAATCTTCCTGCTTCCCTTGGAAAGCCAAAGAAAGATGAGGGGCAGAGGGAATGAGGGAAGGAGAAAATCCAGCTGGGAGAGCCGGGAAAATCTTCCCGCTGCCCTCGGCTCCGTGTCCGGCCGCTGGCCAGAGGCTGAGCCGGGGCATTCCTGGAGCATGGAAAACTTCCCTGCCCGGGGCAGAGCCAGGAGGAGGAGGAGGAGGAGGACGGAGCCCTGCGTGCCCTGGCAATGGTGACATCCTCGGCTGGCAGGGCTGGGGACGCGCCAGCAGCCCGGGGATGCGGGATAAAAATAAAGGCGAGGCGAGGCTGGCCAGCTCCTGGCGGCTCCCACAGAAGGAGCTTTGTGGTCTCGTCCCCATCCCCGCGGCACAGCCAGGACCTGGCAGCTGCCATGGGAATGGCCCGGGGACCTCCCTTGGCACAGGGAAACTGAGGCACGGAAGGGAGTGACACGGGTCTGGCTGCTGAGAGGAGAGGGGGTCAAACCCAGAATGATCGGAATTGAAAGGATTTTCCCAGGATTTTGGGGCCTGGCAGGCTCCGTGTGGGGCAGGTGAGGATGTGGGGCCGTGACTCAGCCGTGGGGCCGTGACTCAGCCGTGTCAGTTCGGTTGGAGAAGCAGAACCAAGTCCCCCTGCCCCAGGCTGCTCCTGGGACACTCCCGGGGATCCGGGGCAGCCACGGCTTCTCTGGGAATTCCATCCCAGCCCCTCCCCACCCTCCCAGGCAGGAATTCCTTCCCAAAATCCCATCCAGACTTCCATGACAGGAGGGACGGGAAGGAGCAGCAGAAGGAACTGAGACCTTCCAGCCTGGCCTGTGGCCACCAGCAGCTGCCAGGGCAAAGCCCAGAGCCGGGCACGGGGCCTTTGGCATCCCAAATCCCACTCCATGAGGGATGAATCCTCGCAGGGAAGCCACGAGGGGAGGGATCCAAGCCAGGCCCACCCTTTGCCCCACCAGGCTGGATCTCCAGAGGGCTCAATTCCACGAGGGAGCCCTCGGGGAGGGGATTTTTCCTGGCTCAGAGGGTTTAGGACCATGGCAATCCCACAGCCAGCTCCATCCTTGGCACAGGAGACCCAACTCGCCCAAATCTTGGCTCTGCCACCCCCAGGATGGGCTCGGAGCCCACCCCGGCGCTCAGCAGCTCCATCCACAGCACCGAGCTGTGCTCCCGCACCCTCCAGGCAGGATTTGGGTGGCACTGCCCCTTCGGATGGCTCCTGCTGGCAGCTGGGCCCTGCCAGGCGTGGGAGAGGCTGGGAGAGGCTGGGTGGGTGTCCCGTGGGGGGCCGGGAATGCTCCCGGCGGGGGTGGGGAGAGCAGCCCCTATTTCTGGGCGCACAGGTAGCACGTTGGTGCTTGGTCACCGTCTGCCGTGCCAGCCCGGTTAGTCACAGCTCGTTAAAAATCAGAAAAGCTGGGAGAAAAATATCTCAGAGCCTCGGCAGGAAAACGTGCTCAGGGATGGAAAACACGGGGTGAAATCCTGCAAGGATTCGCTGTCAGCCTGAGCAGCCACGGGACACGGACGCTGCGGGGACATGTGACACATCCCCCTGGCCGCAGGGCACGGCGACACCGAGCCAGTCCCTCGCAGGGTGGTGGCACCTCCCACCTCGAGACAACGCGGGTGACACGAGGACAAGGCCGAGCGCGGTGCCACCCCCGGCCCGCTGAGTGCGCCCTGCTGTCCCCTCCTGCCCCATCCTGCCCTGCCGGGCACATCGGGGGCGCAGCCACGGCCCCCCCGCCCGCCGCCTCCCACCAGCGGCAGCCAGAGCGGGGTTTAGTCAAGCAAAAGGAGGGCAGCAGCAGCTGCCTGCAGCCCTCTGCCTCCTCCTCCTCCTCCTTCTCCCTTCAGAGCCGGGCACGACACAGCCCACGCCATCTGTGCCCACCTGTGAGGGGCTGGGACCACCCCAGGCCACCCTAGAGGTCGCCCGTGAGGGGCTGGGGCATCCCCCGGCCCACAGCATCCATCAGCTGCTGGGCAGAGCCCACCTGTGTGGGACCGGGACCCTCAGGCCACCCAGAGCCCACCTGTGAGGGGCTGGGACTGTCCCCAGGCTGGGCCTTCTGTCCCTTCCTGGGGCAGGACCCTTCTGTGAGGGGCTGGCACCACCATCCGTCACTTCCCTGGGCACTGTCCACCTGTGAGGGTCTGGGACCACCCCCAGGCCACTCCAGAGCCCCCTGTGAGGGTCTGGGACCATTCCCTGGCCACTCCAGAGCCCCCTGTGAGGGTCTGGGACCACCCCATCCCGGCCCATCCATCACTCCCAGGGCGCGGCTCATCCCCGGAGCCTGCGGACCCTGCGCCCCCCGTCCCCGCGTCCCCCCGGTCCATACCCACGAGCAGCGCTGGCAGCCGGTAGTCCCCGGGCTCGCTGGCTCTGCCCGGCTCCCGCAGCCTGGCGGCGGCTCGGGGGGAAGCTCCAGGGGGCTGCTTTGCCCAGCGGGGCAGCATCGCGGGGGCAGCGGCAGGCGGCTCGGCTGGGAGCGCGGCTCGCCGATCTGCGCGACAAACACACGCAGCTCATCGCATCTGCTTAACGCGGGCCGGGCACGGGCTCCATGAGCATTTCGGCATTTAAAGCCGCACTCCGGGCCCGGCAGGGTCGGCTCCGAGCAGCCGGATCGGGCGGCGCTGGCTGCCGGTGCTGATTAAACGCGGGGTGGGCTCGTTACCGAGCGAGGGGAGGGTGGCACCGACCTGATCGCGCAGCTCTGACCTCGCAGGCGTGCGGCGGCTGTCACCTCGCATCCAGCGCCGCCACCGCCACCTCAAACCCAGCGCCGCCGCCGCCACCTCAAAC